TCGAGGAACTGCGGGAAGCGGGCATTATTATAAATTAAACGGGGTTCCGACAATCTATTCAGTTCATCGCGTGACACTTTACCAAGCATTGCAAAAATATGTCTATTAATAAATTTGGATTATTCGAAAGGAAAATTGATACAACCGGTGATCATTGGTACACATTGATGAGAAGATGTGTGCATAAAAACGCTCTATGTCGCGTCGCTATAGATTATGACGCAAGATCGCGCAAGATTCGCCGTGTAGCGCAACCTGAGGAGGATACCGATGCCGTCAACAAATTGTACTTGGAAGAGTGCTTTAAAACATTGATGATCCAACAGAAAGAGTTAGATGAGAAACTGGCTGCGTTAGAGAAAGATGTACAAACGTTGAAGACTGTGATAAAAGAACTTTTGCGTGCGCCAAACACTACCTCAGAAATATCTATCTAATAGAAACGGTTAGAAGAAATAGTTGCAAACGAGGAGGATTATCAGCGTACTACTACTAATCTACAATGAGCAACGAGAGTTTTGTGATCGCCGAACTCTGCAGTAACAAGTCTAACAGTAACAAATCTAACAGTGAACGGCGTATCGGCTGCTGCAAACGAGGCTACGAACAGGTCAGAAGCGGCTGCGAACGAGGCTATGAACAAGTACTTAAAGGCTACGATTGTCTCAGGTACGGCTGCGAACGGGCCAGGGCGGGTTTCGAACGGGTCAGAAGCGACTGTGAAAAAGGCTGCGATCGAGTCAAGAACAATTTTCGAAACTGTCAAGGACGTGAGTGAACGAACGCGAAAGAACCCGAAAAAACTCAAAAGAACGAACCCGAAAGAACCCAAAAGAACGAGGCGCGAACGTGAAAGAACGCGAAAGAACCCGAAACAACGAGGCATGAACGCGAAAGAACCCGAAACAACGAGGCATGAACGCGAAAGAACGAGAATGAATAGCGAAAATAACAACGAGCAACATAGTTTGGAGAGACGGCAGTTGGTAAACGAGTTGCATGCGTCAGCGAGAAAAAATTTCCCTCGAAGACATGTCATAGTGCGAGGATACGATGATCTGTGGCAAGCCGACATTGTCGAGATGCGTCCGTACTCCCGTTTCAACAGAGGTTACCACTACATACTCACCGTCATCGATGTGTTGAGCAAGTATGCGTGGACTGTACCACTCAAGAGTAAAGGAGGAAGCGAAACAGCTGACGCAATCGCCGAGATAATTTGAGATAGCAAGAAATGCCCGAAAAACATGCAAACTGATAACGGGAAGGAATTTTACAACGCCGATGTGCAACAACTTATGCGAAAACATGACATTAATCACTATTCTACATATTCGGTATTGAAGGCGTCGGTCGTCGAGCGATTCAATCGCACGCTAAAAAACGACATGTGGAAGATATTTACGCTGAATGGCACTTACAAGTGATTTGACATGCTGCCACGCCTCGTATCAGATTACAACGGACGCAAGCATCGAACGATTGGTATGCGACCCGCCGACGTTACCCCCGCGATCGCCGAAAGACTCTTGGCTACCGTGTACAATCATGTAAAAATCGCGGGCCCGGCAAAGTTCAAAGTAGGTGATCAGGATACGCGTCAGCAAGTACAAACAACTTTTCGAGAAGGGATACACGCCAAATTGGACAACCAAGGTGTTTAAGATTGTTAAAGTGCAGCATACTAATCCCGTAACATATCTACTCGAGGATTATCGCAAGACATCTATCGCTGAAGCGTTTTACGAGCACGAGCTGCATCGTGCAAATTGTCCGGATGTGTATCTCGTGGAGAAAATACTGCGCAGGAGGGGTGACGAGGTTTACGTGAAATGGTTGGGATTCGACAGTTCGCACAACTCTTGGATACATAAAAACAATGTTATTCAATGTATTTTATTCAATCATTTTATAACATACTATATATTGTACACCATATATGAAATATATAACAAAAATATATATAACAAAAATATATATAATCCTCATTAATACATCCTTACAATATAATATAAATATAATAAATATAATAAATATAATAAATATAATTTACAACGGTATTCGATAATGTCCCCACGGCAAGGTGTCGGACGACTCATGTACGACATACCGTTTGTCATCGTAGGGACTTAGAGCAATTTTTGTCTCGCTGATGGTATACACTTTATGCAATTTCGATCTTATACATGATTGCTGACGCGTCATTTCAATTTCTTCATTAAGACAACGCGTATAATCGTCGAATGTTATACTACGCGCTACGACGTTACTTTTGACACCTTTTGCCTTTTTAGTGTCTTTTTTACCGTCCACCCGCAAAGCATACATTTTTGCTCTAAGCTCGACGAATTCGGTTATTATCGCACCGTTATTCTCATTTTTCATCAGACCCGGCACCTTTTTATTCGCGAGCGGTATACTGTACACATTATTCGCAGCGTAATCGCTGGTATCGAATCGAGCGATATCGCGTTTCAAATTTTCATAGACATCTTGACATTTAATTTGATATATTAAACTGTCCGTGTCGGTGTACATTACTCTACAATTGTCACGATAGAACGGTGACATGTATTTGTGGTGAAATTCATAAAGACATACTTTTGATATGTCGAGTATGCACATGCCGACGTAGATTGGTTTGTAGAATTTAACTTCGAGTTTGCGTAATTCTATGGCAACTAATTTTTCCGAAAATATGCTTGTACTATAAAAATTTGGTTTCGCGATCATTGCCTCCGCACCGTACCGTCCGTCCCATTTTGTTAATAATTTTACATCCACATGATTGCGCACATTTTCCATCGTCTTGCCGAATACCGCATTATTAATCAATTTATATAAATTTTTTTCAAAATCGTTTTTCGTTTGTGTTCTAAACTGTGTGTTGAGTTCGATGTATTTTTGAAGCCACGCTGACTGCGTAAATTGTAGTATGTGGTATATTTTTGTTATGCGTCGCCCGTGGCGCGTGCACTGCTGCAGATTACGATAGTGTATTACGTAGCGCTTCTTATCGTAAAGCGTTGCGAGGAGTTTATACTCCCGCTTGCCGGGCGGCTTATCGCGCATCGGGCAAAACGGTAGGTCAATGTGTGCGTCATGAAGATGCTGCGGATACTCTAAATCTACTTCGAGAACATAGCCTATAGGCGAATCGAACGTGATAGATGATATATCAAAATTCGATACATTGTCGACCCACCGAAAATCGGCATACGGCAATGGTTGACACATTGCCCATCCGTACAAATTATTTACATCAAAATACATGAGATAAGATGAGGGTTTCGATGGGTCGTACGATTGCATGTACTTGTTATTAGCCTGTGCGTATCGACCTGAACATTGACTAAGGCCGCCGCGTATACCTCGTTCGACAAACATTACCATGTCAATGTCTGTTAATAATTCAAATTTTATATTTGTATGTTTAAACATGGCGTCCCATGTATATCCGGGGAGAGTATAATAATACGCGGGATCGAGTCCATAACTTTTTATACAACTGTCGCGAAAATTTTCAAATATATCGGCCAATAACAAGACATCAATTTTAATATAAATCGCTATATTCGCCTAGCGTTCGAAGGGAGAATCGGCTCCAGACGGTCTCGGCGTGCGCGTAATCACTCTCGGATACAGTGTCGCCGGTCAGGGAACTGTAAAATGAGTCGCGCAGCGGTAAACATGTGTCTTGTAACCTGTCCACGCAGTCTATATATTCGTACGGAAAGACGCCCTTTCGTGTCAATAAATTGAACGTATCTGTCGATAAATTTTGATATTCCGAATGTAAAATTTTTAGTTTATCTTTATCCAAAAATGACGCTAATTTGTCAAGACTAGCGCTGAGAAATTTATACGAATTGATAAACCGTAATTTAATATAATTTTTTAAATTATTGTCTTGCGTCAATCTAACAGTTTTTGAGAATGATATATATTTTTCCTTCGTTATTGGAAGTAATTCGATTTCCCCTTCGAACGCTGTGGCTATGTCCTCGATAATAAAATACGCGTCGTAGCCGGACAAATTGTGAAAGACTATAAGAATACAAAATGATTCTTTGTAATTTAAGTTACAATTTGAGTGCGCGAGACCCCTGTACCGCCCGGTGAGGTGACAATGATCGTGGACGCGTGTATCGTCTTCGTCAAACGGTTTCTCACAAATGTGACAATGCGTCGCGGTGCGAAATTTTAACCACTCGTCAGGCGTTAAATTTACCATGGGGACATTGGTCGTTAAAATATTTTTTACGCGGATTGCTAAATTTTTAAGCTGTTCGGCGAACCACGCGACGCAATCGACACTACGGCGAAAATTGTACGCGGACAACGAACTGTCGTACGAACACTGTACGTAATACACGATGCTGAACACTTGATGTGTAACAATACAGCACGCGCCGACGATACATCCGATAAATAAAGCGGGGAAAGGATGGTCGAACAATACTTTCCCCCACGACCCGTAATAATTAAAAAGATACCGAACGATCCCGACGAGAAACGGAAAATCCCGAACGTACGCGAACGGCCGTATAAAAAGGCCGGGGAAAACCGAAAAGATTCTTTTCCGTTCCGTACCGTCTTAGGACGACTACCGCTCCGGAAAACGCAAAGACAGCTAGAGAGAAGAGATCGGGGGTGCCCTGTCTCGTGTGGGTGCGTTCCCACTTACTAGCCGCTCCGAGCGACTCCTTTCCGAAACCGCTCCTTACCGTATCCTCCTACACGATCGGCCAAGAAAACCAGAAATTGGGCGTTCTCCGCCTCTGTCGGGAGCTCCTGCGGCCGATCGCTTATTACGAAACAAAAACAATAACAGAGTTCCCGCGACGCGATACTCCGAAATCAACATTAATTTTGACGAAGGCAAACCCGAGCGTCATCTCTCTCATACGGCCGCGCGCGCGAGAGAGAGAGAGAGAGCGGATACGCGATAATAACACCGCGGGACCACACCGCGCTCCGGACCGCGCCGCGCCGACAACCAAACGTAAAACGGCTCATAGTCGGCGATCTTTTCCCGATGATCCAGCGCTGCACATTCGTGGGAATTTCAAACTCCGTCTGTACCTTTGTCTTCAGTTCGGCTATCATCATCCTCGTTGGTAGCTGTTATTGTATAATTCGTGAAACAGATTTTTAAAATTATTTTATATTGACTGAAATAGCAAACTGACGTCATTAAATATCAAAATAACGTAATTTTAATATCTAATGACATCATTCAACGTCAAAATGACGTAAGCAGATTTTTTAAATATAAATTTAAAGTGTAAGACAGGCAATAAAAGCCAAATCGCGGATGACAGTGCGTTATCCCAACGAAACTAAAATTTTTTTCCGTTAGAATTAAATACCTGTGCACAAGGCACCAAATTTTACTTGGTCACGGCCAAGATTTAAAATTGGAATAATCACTACAAGAGATTTAATTCCATACATCCCCTCTTCCCTCCTAAGGAAATAAGATTTTTTTAAATTTGACATTGACTTAGATAGCAAACTGATATCATTAAATATCAAAATAACGTTATTTTGACGTCTAATGACGTATCATAATGATCATTCGACGTCAAAATGACGTATGCTTGCTACCTGATGAGTAATTATCAGTATGTAAAATTACCTGAAGCGGAATGGGCCCTTGGTGAGCAAGTTTGTCTTTGATATACATGTTGACTTTAATCGATTGATCCTTCAAACGCGCCGCCGAACGTTGTCGTATCACGGAACAATGGATTTTGAGCCTTGCCAATTCCTTCGCTAATCCAGCTGCTTGTTGATGATGGCCCGACGCAATTGCTCCTTCCAGCTTTCTTAGTAATCGATTAATATCCAGAGTATTCATGTTCTTCGCCGCTGAATTATCGTCTGCAAGAAAAACATTAATTTGCTTTTAATAAATTTTAAAAAATTAAGATGCAAATTGGAAACTTGTACAATTTTTTCACATAAAATAATATTTTTTGTCACGTATATGTATGTATGTATATATGTATATGTTCTCTTACTTTTATATGTTCCTTTTATAGGTATATTTCTTTTATAAAATTCGAAAATTAATATTTTTTGAGAAATTCGAAATTTCAATAAAAAATAAACTCTCACAAATAAAATTCAGTACCAAAAGTACTTTATAATAATGCTTTATTCATAAAAAAATAGCTCGTTATCTCTAAATTTGGAACAATTAAAAAATGCACTTTTCTTAAAAATTCAAAGTTATAAAAAAAATGAATTTTTTTAGCGATTTTTTTTCACGAAAACAAAGCTTCCTCTATAAGAAAGCAGTAACAATTTATTTTCTGAAGTTGTTGATTTTTCTTCTAAAACTTTTATAGTAATTAATTTATTATTTTTATTTAGGATGAATAATTCAAATATATAATTTTCGTTTTTAATGAATATATATGTATATGTAATTGTAAAAAGTAAAATATGTAATTGCAAATTATAAATGTAATTGTAATTGTAAATTGTAAATGTAATAGTAATAGTAATTGTAATAGTAATTGTAATTGTAAATTGTAAATGTAATATGTAAAGCTTACCTTCTTATGCAAATTCTTCATCGTTCAGCATTTTACTCTCGTTTACAATATTGGGCGATGCTTTAACATGATTACTTCTCGAAATATCCTTAGATGGTGTCGAATTCGGCGATGATTGTTTCGGCGGTAGGAGGTAGGAGGAACGTGAGCATTGGCGTACAAGGATGGTTTCATCATATTGGCATAAGTGTTTTCCTTTCCAATTTCCCTCGTGGTCTTCGTAGCCTCTATCTCGGCGAAATCGCGCGGTCGTATCAGCTGGAAAGTATTCTTGACAAGGGCCGAGCCTTTGCCGGAAGTTCTGTAGAGCACGTTTTCGTGTTTCCAACCCGCAGACGTAGACGGTCACGCGTCGGCGGACGTAGAAGGCTGATTCAATCTACGGATGTTTCCACTGGTTTGGGCCGACGAGGACACCTTTTGCTTATCCGCCTCGTAATCGCTCGACTTGCTCGCAGATACGGGCTTATCAGCCTTTTCGAGAACCACCGCATCGACGTCGCTCGACATAGGCTTTCTCGGTTTAGGTCGCTTCGGCAACGAGTGCTTCATCTCCTTCAGCATCTCCTTCAGATCCACCGTAATTTGATCCTCGACGGTATTGAGAACGGTCGATTTTGTCTTACCGGACTCGGTCTGCTGGCTCGAATTAATCAAACGCGACGTTTCCTTGTCCCGCATCGATATTCCCGGCTGCGCCGCCGATCTCGTCCTGCCATCCTTCTCAGCTTCCACCAGGATGTCGAGCACTTTAGCCACTCTGCTCGATACGGCTTCGTCTTCCGGAACTTTGTCCCCGACGCGGTCTTCCCGCTCCTCCCCGAGCTTCAACTCCCTGGAACGCAGCTTCCGATCGATCTCGTCGAATATGTTCGAGAATTCTTTCTGTCTTCCCGTTCCTTTCGTCCTGATGTCTCTTTCGGAATCTAACGCACTTTCCATGCTTTTGACTAAGTTACGGGCGCGGGACAGCAGAAATTTTCTATCAGTTTCGCTGTTCAGCCTCGGCGATCCTTTTCCTTTTTCTTCCGTGATCTCCTGTCGCACTCTGATTTTCTCTTCCAACAATAATGCAATGTCCTTTTGAACAGCCAGAGACTCGTTCGCGCGATTCGCAGCGAGTTGGCTTTGCAGAAACGATATCCTGTCAGACACCCTCATCAGCTGATCGTTTTGACAGTTTGCTCCAGTTCGTTCCGACAGCTCCTTGCTAGACGTAGTTTTTACATCCACCGAATTTATATCCGTCAATTTTGCCTCGTTCCTCGATGACCTCTGCTGAGGCAGGAAGTACCTGGAGATGTCTCTATCGACGCGAATATTTTGACTGAGATCCTGTTGCGCCGAAAATCTCTGGCTCCTCCAGTCCCCCATCTGCTCGAATCTGCTCCTCGTCACGTCCCGCTCGAGCTTGTAATCTGATTGATCCCTCTTAGCGAAGAAATTGGCATTAACTGTGACTTTGGTGATGTTGCTGATGGCGTTAAACTTGGAGATGAGTGCGCGAGCGCCCCGACGGGGTGACGCGTTCTCCATCGCCGAGGTAACTATGTCCTGGACGAGCTCCTCGTTGACGTCGCTCCTCCTCTCGAACTCGTCCGCAAACTTGGACGTCTTCAGCAACATCGACGCCCGCGCGCGCGCTTGTTCCTCCTGCACGATCGCCGCCGCCTCCTTGTCGAGCTCGCTGATGTTCGTCAGGATCGACAGGCCGGATCTTCGTTTCGCCTCCTGTCGCTTCTTGTCGTCGTGATGGAAGAAGCTCAGCCTCGACGTGGAATCCACGGAGTAACTTGCGCTCGTTCCGACGCACTTCTTCCTCATCTCGCAGGCTGACGTCGCGGGACCTTCTCTCCTGGAGGACGAGCCTGCGTCGCGATGAGATGAGTGCTCGAAGACGCTGCGCTTGTACCAAGGTCGCGGCATGGCCAAGGTGGAGCCGATCGAAGTCCGCAGGGTATTTTCCCGGGGATTCAAGACACTGGATCCAGGATCATCAGCTTTGTTGCTCTTTGCCGCTTTCGGGCTGCTGCGAACCTCCTTCTTTGACAGCCGCATCCCGCCTTGAAGAACCAGCGTGTCGTTGCTGATGGATTGCCTCTCCTCGACATTCCTCAGCTCCATACCATTACCGCCATTGATGATGAGCGACCTCCTGGACTGCTCCTCGGCCGAAGGATGATTCGTCGACCTCTCCGGCGGCTGTGGGGCCCGTCGTTTCCGCCTATTGCTGTTCCTCGCGGGTGTCTCCCGTACATCGACCTCCACAATCTTGATCACCGCGGGAGGATTCGGCGCCCTTCGTTTGCCCTTTACGTGTATCCTCCGTCCCCCGGTCCTCGAGCCCTTCTCGGGCGACGGGAAATTCTCGCAGGAGGCGAAGGTCGTCGACGGATGCAGCGAGTACCTGGCGGTGATGTTCCGTCGCCTGGAGTGCACGTTAATGGGTAAAGTGCAGGCGGCCGCGTTGGTGTTCTCCTTGTTGCCGACCTTCGAGGCTCCCGCTGCGAAGGGACCAACCTCGGCCGCTCGGTGTCCAAGGATGTCCAAGGACAGTTGCACGTCGCACCGGTCCAGGGTGCCCGCGTGGAATGCGAAGCTGCGGACCGTGGTGGTGCTGTAGAAGGTGTCTACATTCTCCGCGCTGGAGTAGACGCTGCTGCGTCGGACTTCATCGGTTCTCCGTCGCTTCTCCACGGTAGAGTCGCGATTGTTCCGCGACCTGAACCACCTGAACAGGGAGAACCAGTTACCGGTGCCGCGCGTCAGGGAAGAGGTCGACGAAGACTCGCCGTCGACGATGATTACGTTGGATGTTCTTTCTCCTTCACCTTCTCCTCCTCCTCCTCTACCACCTTCGCTGTTCGGTGCACCATTGAGGGATGATGCGCTCTGTACCATGTTTACTCACTCTCGCATATCCCGGGAGGCACGCGCCTCCTGGTCCCCGGCACCTCAATCCTCGCGCTGCATATACACAGTTCTTTATTTAGATTTACTCGAAACTCGCGGTTTTAAGTTCTGTTGAAGCCGTCGCGAGAGCCGAAAACCTCTCTTTGGAGACGGGACCAGGCGGACTTTCTATTCTTCGTGTTTCTTGGTTTTTACGTTTTCTTCTACGCCACTTTTAACCCGGCAGCTCCCAATTCTCAGGTTTGCTGTGGACTTTGGTGGACGATGATTGGATGATGATGGGTGTTGGATGCGACGTCACGACGACGTCTTCGGGTCTCGACGACGACGACAACGATGATGATGATGCACGTGCACCGCGGATTTTGCGGTTAAACCGTGCGTAGTCGGTGCCGAACCGGCGACAAAGATACTTACGTCGGTGATCTATTAATAGATTGGGTGGTCCTCCCGTTGGCGGGGTTATTTTCAAGTCCACTTTGCACACCACGCGCCGACCGAAATCAAAACAGAAGAATACGGATTTAATGCGCTCTTTTTCAATGCGGCTTCGTGAAAAAAAAATATATATATATATACAGGGTGTCCGGTAACTAACGGACCAACGATCACAAATGGATTCTTTGGTCAATTTGGGAACGATTTTTCCTCAGCGAAAATGTCGAAAAAGGTCATCATTTTTACAACTTTCCAATATTTGTCATTATGTATCTTTATAACTAAGCCTCAAATTAAAATTTTATTATAGTAAACTCTACCTGAAATTAACTAAAGAATGTAATTATGTTAGATTTTTAACTCCAAAACGTTTAGTTTTCAAAAAACCCATTTTTTTCAATTGCTTATAATTCGAAAATTATTGACTTCTCAACATTTTTGCTAAGGAAAAATTGTCTCCAAATTGGCCAGAGAATCCGCCCTTAATCATTGGTCCGTTAGTTACCGGATACCCTGTATAATTGCGGTTATCTCAGACTGTGTTCCACGTAAAAATGTTCGGAACTGAAAGTGATAAGCGCATAGTTTTAGCGGTTCTGTATTTTATAATAAAAGACTGCATCTGAATATCTAGACAAATATTTGGAGAAATTTGAAACGGGAAGAATGAATATTTAACAAAATGTGCGGTTGGTTTCTGTTCGAGCTCGGAAGCTTAGTATATAATAATTTAACTGTAGTAAAAACCGCAAATTAATGTTAATTATACTGTTACACAAAAAATTTTTTTTTTCGACCACCGGAACGAGACTAGTCGTTTTTTGAATGCTGAATACGAATCTGGTTTCCAAACTGTTCCATCATGCCACCATTTGAGAAATTTTTAATTAAAATTGCATAAAAGGCTGTTTTCATAAATTTTGTCATATTATAACAATAATATGTGACGTGCTGGACAAGTTTTATTGCAATCAAAATTAAGTATCTTGTTAGGACTTTTAACAGAAACTCTCAAAAGGGCTCTCAAAAAGAATTTTTAGTGTCGACTAATAAAGTATTCATGAATAAATATAAGCTGCGTTGCGAAAGTTAGCTGTGACTTACAAGTAGGTCATTGATTTACTAAACTTTTAAGAATTTTTTAGGTCATTGAACACGAATTCAATGTCAAAAATTGTCAAATTCAAAATAGTACTCAATATGGGGATGTTAAAATTAAAATAATTTTTTTAATATAAATCTGCCATATTAAGTTTGACTATTTTGACACTGAATTCGTATTCAGTGATCTAAAATACCTTTAAGATTAAATAAATATAATTGAAATTTATTTGATAAATCGATTGATCGATATTAAAAATTTCTTTTGAGGGTTGCCCTAACAATATACTTTATTTTGATTACAATAAAACTTTTGTAGCACGTTATATATTGCAGCTATAATATAACAGTCCGTGAAAAAACCCTTTTTTGCAACTGTAATTAAAAATATCTCAGAATTCTGACGTGACAGAATAAACAAAAATTATGATAAAATAATTTGGAAACCAGATTCGTATTCATGCAAAAAATTATAAAAAAGAACGACTAATTTTGTTCCGATTAATTTGTTATTACATAATTTATTCGTCCTTTATTCATTATTCATTCATTATTGATCGATGAGCTATAGTATTAAAGATACTAATGTAAAACTATTTTTGTATGTTATTCTTAGATCTGTGTTTTATACACTCGCTGTTTCAGCTGCCGATAGTCACAGCTGAGCTGCGATATTAATAGATGACGCGCGAAATCTTATTCGAGGCGTCAAATAAACGTCGTCCTCGATAAGTCGTATCTGTTCAACTGTGATACTCGATTATATTTATTTCCGTAATAATTCCACGCATTATCTGCGCTCGGTGGAGCATAATTCTATTACGTTGAACATCGTAGGTATCTCGAGTTCTGAGAGCTCATGCAGAACGTCTCTGATTTACATCGCCGTGCGATATTATTTTTGGATTTGACTAATCCCCAACTAGAGAGAGGGCATGGACGAACGAAGCGATGACCAGACGTTGCTCCTTCGCCGAATGAATCAGAGAGTCTGAGCGAGCTTTGACAAAATTCCCAAAACCCGCGTGACACTCGATACACAACTCCGAAAAGCTTTTCTCCGTGTGTTCTTAAAAATCCTACGCGCAACAGAGGCATAGAGGTGCCTTTTTTAAGCTGATCGGACGCTGCCCCGCAACACGTAGGATTTACACTGAAAATAAACTCGCGCATTTCTGGACTGCTTCTCCAAAGATATGCGAAACTTCTCGTGGAAGGTGTAGAGACATTGTGTCAACAGGAATAACAAAATCTGCGTGATATAAATTTTTTATATACATATTACTTGTTAAAATAGCTGGGAAGAAATACTGTATGTTTAACGAATAATATTACAAAAAATTTTTTTATCTAAACAATAAAATTTGTTTTTCAATTAAAATTTAATATTAACAAATCTATGTAAAGAAATAAATTAGTATAATATTTATAAAAATACATATGATTGCGCTGGCATGTTCGTGGTGCCACATTAATTTGCAGATGATATATTAGCTAAATATATAAATGAAATATTTATGGCTGCATAATTTAAGTATATATTATAACGTATATGAATATACATAATTTTACATGGAATATTAAATTACCTTAAAATTTCTAAGTATGGATTAATATTCATATAATTATATATTAATGAGTATACACGACAAATGTGTTTCGATATTTAGCATCGCGATAGGCGTATCTAATTACACTTTAATTGTACAAATTAATAATTTTCCGATCGATTCCCGATTCAGCGACTTTCGGATCTATATTTTTCTCTTGCATTTACTTATTTCCGTAGGGGGGTGAAAGGGTTATTGAAATTAAATCTCAAATATGAGATTATTTCATATTTTAAATCTTGGCCGTGACCAAATAAATTTGGTGCCTTGTGCACAGATACTTAATCCTAATGAAAAATTTAGTTTCGTTAGGATAACGCACTGTCATCCGCGAGTTGGCTCTTACTGCCTGTCTTATATCTTTAAATTTATATTTATATTACAGAGCCTTGTTAAACTCTTAATTAATAATTTGTTAATAATTTTATTATATAAAATAGTTTTCTTACATCAAACGCAGTCGTAGAAAAAGTATTTCACAGTATGCAAAGCGTTTAATTTATGCGTGTCTTTATTGCTCGAGTGTGAAAGCTCGACTGACAATAATTACGCGCTTTTATTGACGACTCCAAGGTTGATTACCACATGCTTATTTGTTGTCGAAATATTTTAAGTGCAATGTTATAACATATATGAAAATGTAAATGTACATGGAATATTAAATTGAATTATTTATATATTTGCATTATATTCTTAACATCGAGAGACTATCATCGCAAGGGTTATCAGTTTGACTGAGTTATTCAAAATAAAATTAAGTGATAAATGAATGTATTCATGATAAAATAAATCAAAGATAAATGAAAATAAATGAAAGAATTAACGATATTAGAGTTAAGAAATATTTACAAAATAATTACTATAAATATTTATTTTTACTTACCATAAATAATAAATGAAAAATTTAATCTATATTTTAAAATGTGTAAAATAAATATTTTTATAAAAATATTTAAAATAGTTATATAATATTTCAAAATAATATATAAATATATATATAAGAGTTTTAACAAGGCTCTGTAATATAAATATAAATTTAACGTATAAGACGGGCAACAAGAGCCAAATCGCGGATGACAATGCGTTATCCTAACGAAACTAAATAATTTTTCGTTAGAATTAAATACCGGTGCACAAGGCACCAAATTTTACTTGGACACGGCCAAGATTTTAAATATGAAATAATCTCATATTTGAGATTTTAATTTCAATACCCCTTTTAACCCCCCTACGGAAAATAAATAAATGAATGCAAGAGAAAAATATAGATCCGAAAATCGCTGAATCGGGAAGCGAACCCGAGACCTTTCGCTTGCCGGGCGACTGCTCTTCCAGCTGAGCTATTCAGATCCTTTCGATTCTATACTTTTCTCTGTTATATATATTAATGTTGGTAAACAAACGCATTTTTTAAGCCAGCGTGTATCAATATAAGAGTTTTAACAAGGCTCTGTAATATAAATATAAATTTAACGTATAAGACGGGCAACAAGAGCCAAATCGCGGATGACAATGCGTTATCCTAACGAAACTAAATAATTTTTTCGTTAGAATTAAATACCGGTGCACAAGGCACCAAATTTTACTTGGACACGGCCAAGATTTTAAATATGAAATAATCTCATATTTAAAATCTTGGCCGTGTCCAAGTAAAATTTGGTGCCTTGTGCACCGGTATTTAATTCTAACGAAAAAATTATTTAGTTTCGTTAGGATAACGCATTGTCATCCGCGATTTGGCTCTTGTTGCCCGTCTTATACGTTAAATTTATAAATATATATATATATATATATATATTTATTTATATATTTTTGAAATATTATATAACTATTTTAAAT